CTATAATTTGTCACAATCCATATTAATGTGTCATTTCTTTTTACAATAATAACAAATATGATAATTGAAATTTGACATCGACTTACCCCTTCTTTGATCACCATGAACAAGAAGGCATTTTCCATCTCTAGCCTCAAAGCCAACTAGATGATTTATCTTCTCTTTTGAAAACAATGCATCATATGCATCTTCAATGGTGAGAGTATCATCACTATACAAGATCGGGTCTCCAAACGAAGTGAATGAAACAGCCAGTGAACACAAAACGATTAAGGCTAAATCTCATTCATTATACTTTACTTCTAAAATCTTCAAATCGACGACAATCTCCTTAAACACAGTCAGACGATCTTCCAAAAATCCGTCTCCTAACATGCGACGAGTATATAGTCTCTATTTCAGATATAATTTGCATGTCAGACTCTTAGTAATGCATAATTGCTCTGACTTAAATCACAACGCAGCTTTCGTTTTTTCATTCAAAGTATTCCGAAAAACATTTTTACAGAGATGAAGATGAATTTGTGAAAATGCCTTCTGATCGGTTTGTTATTTCTCCTCCGTCGTCCAACACATTTTGTCAAATCTCAACCATGCATCTTTCAAATTCATCTGTGCTAGTATAACTTGCATCTTCACTTGCCACAACAAGAATCTTGTATTGTGATCTAAGAGCAAAAATTCATGATTCATGGCTACTATCAATAACAAAAATCTAAAACAAATCACAACCAATAGTTCCTATACCCCTTGTGGGGAAATAAACCTAATCAAGGTAATATAATGACACAATATGAAATATATGATCGCAATGAAACGAAAAAATAAAAGGCAAAAAATTAATTGATAGAGGAATTAAGTATTTTATTCAATTGACTAATATGAAAAAAACAAATACCATAACTGTGCTTAAACAATTATTCTATATTTCAATAATGCAAAACTTGTAAAAAGAGTCTAATATTTCTAGGAGTGCATGTCAAACCTTAGAAATACCAAAAAAATGGAAATAAGATAAAAAAAAATAAAGGAAAAAAAATACTTTCTAAAAGGTCCAATCTAATTTAGGTCAAAAAAGCCCAACACTATTTCTTGTCAACTCGTTGAGCAAAATCCAACAAATTAATAATAATAATAATAGTAATAATAATAATAATACGCAACAGTGCAAGCTTTTTAAACTTTGACGAGCGGAGTTATTTCAAGAAAATAAATGAATCCTAAGTAATTTAATTTTTAGAAGAAATGAGATGAACATAAAAGTTAAAGAATGATAGAAACTTCCAATGGACTAACATTCTTTACTTTTTACACTTGACGATAGTGATACCCGTGCGAGAATTTCACATCTTTCACACTCAAACACCTCATATTTGCATTTTATGCACCAAAAACGTCAAGTTCAAGTCCTCCTTTTACTGCGTTTTCTTTTGTAAACAAATTAAAAGTTAGAAACTTATCGTGTAAGCACTAACATGCACATACATAAAATATATATTGATCCTAGACGACACATTTCACATATTCAATCCAAATGATAATAACAAAAGCAATCGAGTTAATAGTGTAATGCAACGTATCCACTTACGTAGAAAAAAAATGATAATTCTGATAAGACACAAAATAATTAAATATTTAGGTTGTGGGAGTTGATGGGGGAATTTAAAGATATGACAATTATGGTGGAACAAATGAGTGAATGGCTGATTCTGAAGTGATTTTCCTTTTCATATTCTCTATTTGTATGTAGGAATAAATGATAGATACGTCACGCAACAATATGCTTCTTTTTTTCTTTCTTTGTTTTCCCATTTGTGGTGTTTTTTTGACTCAACTGCACTTTATAAAGTGCATTTCCACTAAGGGTGGCTTATGTGTTGTCACAACTTGGAAAGATTCATTTAACACCAAATGTTGAGAAATTTTTATTCTTTCTTCAATTGGGCATAGCATGGACGTAATCTATTGCGTGTTGTTCAAACTGCACAGTACTGAATAATAATTGTTAAATTTATATTGAAGATTCATGTTGTGTACGTCTAACTTTTTCGTAGTTTCAGTATGAACACTCATTTAAATTCCATTGCTTTCTAAAGGATGTTTATGTGAAAGACTGTTTTGTAGATATCACGCTAGGCATTCCGTATGAAAAACAATTGGAACTTAAATGAGTAGATGAAAAATAAAAGATAAATTTAAAGCTATCACTTGGAAACAAAATAAATGTTGCGACTAACATGCGACTTTACTTAATAAAAAAGATGTTAATTTAATTTATTCAACTTTTTATTTTAAATTTTCTATCAAAAGTTCCAATATTTAACTTTTTGTACGCCAATTCTAAATTAAATTAATAATATGCCTTGTAATTTAAGGTATATTTCGTGAGAGATACCTAGTATATATCAGTCCAACATAAAATGAAGTGTCGATCAGGGATTATTTCACTCGTTTTTTCTAAGAGCAAATGTAATTATATATTTCTGGACAAGACTAATTTGTTGCATAATGCTAACTACTCATATTATATAATTTTAATGAAACATACTATTTCTCATCAATTTTTTATTGTATATCTAATAAGACATTTGAATTGTGTAAGAGAGAGAGAGAGAGAGAGAGAGAGAGAGAGAAGAGGTTGCATCGTTAATAACTAAAAAAATAAGTGTATTATATTGGGATAACATTAGTACATAATTTTTTGGACATTAAGATATTCATACACTAACATGGGGTGGGACTCACTCGAATAAAATATTTGAACGAGTCCCACCTCATGTGAGTGTGGGACGCTTTGACGTACAAAAAATTATGCACACTAAGCAAAGTCCATTATATTGTATAATATTTTAACAATTATTGTTTTTAGATCATATCATTGTCATGTTTATGTTCTTTACATATACAAATAAGGCTCTACAAATTCGAACTATACTTCCAGATATATCGAATTTTGTAGAATTGAGTTTCAGCTATCTCACATAAAAACCTAGTGATTTTTTGAACCTGATAATTCAAGTCTGTCAAGAGAGACGATGTCATGAGTTTGAACCATAAAGAGCATCATGTTAAGGAAGAAACTACTGAGGATCAATAATGTCGTTCTTAGCTTATGGGTTGGGTCATTCTAATGATAGTGATTGAATACCATAAAATGTTTAGCTAGCTTTCACTGAATACCACCATATATATATATATATATAGATGAGACTGTTAAAATCTTACCCTACCAGATGTATAGAGCTAGGATCATGGATTCGAATCATAAGGGAGCAATTGTTGGAGAACAACAATGTGCTCTTAAGTTCATGGGTTGGATTACACCAATTCTTTTTTAGATAAAATGGTTAAATTCTGATTCAGCTAACTTATTATTGTCAACATGATTTGGGATGTTGCAAAATTGATGACTCATGAAGAAATGTCTCTCTAATTATCTGTTTCGTACATTTTGTCATTTGAAAATAATTTAATAATATAAAGTGGTGCGATGAAAAATTAATTCTAAACTTGATCAAGATGGAATTATTCTAATAACATAATTTCAAGATTTAAATACCTTCCTATCCATAAGAATCTAATGCTTCTTGGAAGAAAAGGTTTATATAGGAAAAGAATAATAGGAAAATTGACTTAAAAACTGAAAGAAAAATGAAAATTCTGGATTTCATTTATTGAATTGAAATTTAGCAAATGGCCAAGTACAGCCTCCAATGACATTCTTTGACACGGCTAATTGATAGGGTCCAAATTGATACTATTGGGCCTGATAAAATATGGGTTATTATTCGCATAGTATATTCAAGGCCCAGCTGGTTGCAACATTGAAAGAGATTCTCAAACAATATATTTGAAAACTTTGGTTGATGTTGAATCTCAAGTCTTTATCAACTTCACATGACAAGTAAGCCAAGTCCATGTTTGCCTCCATTTCAAAAATTCTTTTTTTTTCCCCCAAATTCAATTCCAACTACACATCTTATGAAACTCACAACTTTTATCAACTTTTCAACTATATATTTCATCATTTTTTATCAAAATCTGCTAAAAATCTTATTTTTAACCGAACCAAATAGGGCTTAAATAAGTTGAATAGATTCAAAGGTAACTAGAATAAGTCTTATCAACTTGTACTTGTATAGTGGTAGAGTGTGAGTACCAAGTCTATTTTATTGCCTTGTGCTTATAGAGCCATGTTGGTAGGTTGCTACATTTCAAGTTAAAGATTGATGTTGAGGTATTTTAAGTTTTCATTGATTAATTTAGGCAAAGTTTTAAGAGTCCCTCGATGTTTGTGGATTGGTCGATGAGAAATTTATTATGTGATCAATACACTTATGACAATCCTAATTCTACCGTTCAAATGGTGCTTCCTCCTTTGATAGAACGCTCAAGAGGTTGAGGTTTAAGTTTACAAGGCTGGGGGACATTAATTTTGTCCTTTTTGGGTTATTTGAAAAGGTCACCGAACCATTTATAGAAGTTGAGTCATTTAAATTGGAGTTGCTATGAGTTTCAATGGTGGAATATCATTCATTTACATATGTCGTTATTTATATGGGTTAAATCAAACAATGACCACTTAACTTTCATTAGGTTTCTAGTTATTCACTCAACTTTCAAATAACAAATAAAAATTCCACGCATCAATTGATGACCTCAAAACAGCCCAAATCAATAAAAGCACACCCAAGAAAACACGACTTTACCTTCATTCTGCAGCGACATGTGTTGAAAATGAAGGGAAAATTGTGTTTTATTTGGTACAATTTAACTGATTTGGAGAGAATTCACGCCGTCAACTTGCCACTTTGGATTCCCATTTACCACGTGGGATTTTTTGTCAACAATTGGAACTATTTTTTTTAATGGGTGGTGCATGAGTAATTAAATGAAAGTTGGATGAATGTTGAGTGATCTTTTAAAGTTAAGTGAGTAAGTAGAAACACGATGAAAGTTCAGAGGCCATTGATTAATTAAATCTTGTTTAAACCATTACTCGTATATGATGTTTAACCTAAAGTAGAGCGCAAGTTGCACAAACACCACGTTGGTCTTGTTTATCAGTTTCTCATTATTCCTGACATATTCTATTGGAAACAGGACAGTAGCAATTCAATTAGCGATTATGGGCCACAACAAGCAGAAGCAGCAGAGGCGATTCAAGAACAATCATAGCTCGCATCGCGCCCATCAACAATCTCATCTCCTTCATAGGCAGGCACTCTTTAACTTCACATCTTCGTACATTTTTTTATATTTTGCAGCTCTTTATACGCAGTATCTCTTTTTGTGCTTGTGTTTTAGTTGCCTTTTGTTAATTATTGTTTTAAAATTGTTCAGGGACGATGATGGGTCTTTACCAACCGACCCAGGTATTTAATTTGCCAGATTTTTTTTTATTTTTTATTTTTTGTTATTTTACATGTATTTTTTGGATGTATATAATACGTATGCAAGATGTTTGACGAATTGTATCGGGGAAGATTAATTTTGGCAAGGACCTACTTTTGAATTATCTGAAATAGAGGTCTATGTGTATGGTTTTGACAGCAGCCGAGGAGGAGGAGAAGCAAAGCGGTCTCACAATTCAGCTTGCTATGTGGGTATGTGTATTGCAAGAGAGTGTTGTTGTGCTTGTTGTCTATGTGCATATTATTTGTTTGCTGGAGTTGAATTCAAGTATTGTTATCCATATTTGGCTTCGGATAATATGTATTAGGCAGAATCATTATCATGGGATTCAGGGATCTTATTGGACGTGAGCCTGAATTTCGAATTTAAATTGGAAATTGGAAAAAAAATTAAAAAAAAATCAGTTTATTTAGTAATGGAACTTTCTTTGTTCTGATTCTAAAATATCTCATGTTATCAGCTTGGTGTCAGTGTTGGATAATAATTTCCAATCAACCTGGTTCATGGTTACTTATCCTTTTCTTCAGATGGGTATGAGATTTTTTTGATCATGACATCCATGTGGACTGAATTTTAATGATCGTGAGTACTGAGTTTTAATGATCATGACATCCATAGGGATTCATCTTACCGTCAGAGAAGAATAGCCGTTCTAAATACTGGTACATGGTTTGGACCCTTTTTTGAATGAAAATGATAGTATCTATTCTTACAACTGAGTAAAATCCGTGTAACAAATCAACCAACAAAATGAAAATAATGATAAAGCTGTCCAGGACTTGAGCCTGTTATCTTGTGCTGCCAAGGTTAGCATTTTGCTACTTAAGTCAGGCTTCATTGACATGTGTGTTTAGAACATGTGAAACTAATTGATGGTTTCTGGATTCAGGATTTTGGCCAATGTGATGCAAAAAGGTGTACGGGCCGCAAGCTTGCAAGGTTTGGACTATTGAAGGAAAGTACTTATCTAACTTTAACGTTTTGATTCCATGATTGAAAAATATGAACATGTAACAGATAAATGGTTGCATTTGCAACTTAAGTTTTCAAATAACACTGTTTTTCAAGTTGTCACATAGTTCCTACTAATTTGAGTTTTCAATCTTACAGGAGTTACGAGTTGGTAATGGCTTTGGTGGTATTGTTTTGAGGTGGTTACGTCATTATACTTTCATAGATCATTTTGATGAACTATTCCTCTAGGTCAATGGTGGTTTTGAATTTATCCATTAGTCTTCAATATTGGTTATATCGCATTTCACATCTTAAGATACAAAGGGAAGAATGAATTCATTTGTTCCCTGACATGATCTAACACATCTTGATTCTAAAGATGAATAAAATCTGCATGCTTCCAGATCTTGTTCTTGCTTGACATTTTTGATATGAAAATTTTGCAATTTAGTAATAGTAGAGTGATTAATGTTACCTTTTGCTTTGATCTTTGATTATCCTATATGGAGCAAACCAGTTAGATATATTGAGCCATTAGTTTTACTATTTAAGTATGATGATTAAATCTATTTGAATCTTGACGCCATTTACAATGTAATTCTGCCCCTGAGTAATTTTAGGTGGTTAACATTGCCCCTGTCTAAAGTTGAAAGGATTTTTATTGCTAGTTTATATAGTACATTTTTGTTATTCTTTGCTAATTTATCGCTTACGCATTTATCTTTCGGTTTTTTGTGGTATATAATTTAAAGGATTACCCCTGGCTAAAGTTGAAAGTATTCTATATCTGGTTTATATTGTACTTTTTGTGTTATTCTTTGACGATTTATCTGTTTATCTTACCTGTGTTTTTACTATACAAAATTTGGGATTGATTTGAAATCTTAATTTTATTTTCAGCCCTGTTGGGACACAGTGTGTCTCAATACAAGATCGTGAATTAATTGTTAGGAAAGGTTTAGCTGTTGTCGATTGCTCATGGGCGCGTCTAGAAGATGTACCTTTTTCTAAGCTGCGGTGTGCTGCTCCTCGTTTATGTATGGGTTTCATTGGATCTCCTTGCTCCACATAGTTATCTGCATCAGTGATGTGCACTTTATCATATTATTCTTGTATATCATAATTTTCCTCAATTACTAATTTGCTATAATTACAATTGACCATCTTGTGTTCTATAGGATAATCATTTTGTCAACTGTTAATAGAAAGCTCTTAACTTTAAAATTTGATGCCATGTAGCACATGCTGTAAACCAATCCTGATGTAGGTGAGATTTGAGAAGCAACGGTTAATGGAGAAACGATATTTGGCTATAGGGGTCCATTTGATTGCAAAGATAGAATTTGGGTGAAAAGAAAATGAATTCCAGAGAATTGAATTGCTTGAGAATTGTAAATTTTTATGTTTGATTGGTATACTTTTTCACGTGGAAAATATTGAAATAAAAGTGTCTTTGGTGTTCGTTTGTTTTTTAGTCTTCAATATTGGTTATATCGCATTTCACATCTTAAGATACAAAGGGAAGAATGAATTCATTTGTTCCCTGACATGATCTAACACATCTTGATTCTAAAGATGAATAAAATCTGCATGCTTCCAGATCTTGTTCTTGCTTGACATTTTTGATGGGAAAATTTTGCAATTGAGTAATGGTAGAGTGATTAGTGTTACCTTTTGCTTTGATCATCCTATATGGAGCAAACCAGTGATGATCAGATAGATATATTGAGCCATTAGTTTTACTATTTAAGTATGATGATTAAATCTATTTGAATCTTGACGCCATTTACAATGTAATTCTGCCCCTGAGTAATTTTAGGTGGTTAACATTGCCCCTGTCTAAAGTTGAAAGGATTTTTATTGCTAGTTTATATAGTACATTTTTGTTATTCTTTGCTAATTTATCGCTTACGCATTTATCTTTCGGTTTTTTGTGGTATATAATTTAAAGGATTACCCCTGGCTAAAGTTGAAAGTATTCTATATCTGGTTTATATTGTACTTTTTGTGTTATTCTTTGACGATTTATCTGTTTATCTTACCTGTGTTTTTACTATACAAAATTTGGGATTGATTTGAAATCTTAATTTTATTTTCAGCCCTGTCGGGACACAGTGTGTCTCAATACAAGATCATGAATTAATTAATAGGAAAGGTTTAGCTGTTGTTGATTGCTCATGGGCGCGTCTAGAAGATGTACCTTTTTCTAAGCTGCGGTGTGCTGCTCCTCGTTTATGTATGGGTTTCATTGGATCTCCTTGCTCCACATAGTTATCTGCATCAGTGACATGCACTTTATCATATTATTCTTGTATATCATACTTTACCTCAATTACTAATTTGCTATAATTACAATTGACCATCTTGTGTTCTATAGGATAATCATTTTGTCAACTGTTAATAGAAAGCTCTTAACTTTAAAATTTGATGCCATGTAGCACATGCTGTAAACCAATCCTGATGTAGGTGAGATTTGAGAAGCAACGGTTAATGGAGAAACGATATTTGGCTATAGGGGTCCATTTGATTGCAAAGATAGAATTTGGGTGAAAAGAAAATGAATTCCAGAGAATTGAATTGCTTGAGAATTGTAAATTTTTATGTTTGATTGGTATACTTTTTCACGTGGAAAATATTGAAATAAAAGTGTCTTTGGTGTTCGTTTGGTTTTGTTTTACATGAAAATTGTCGATTAAAGGGATAAATTTTACTGGTATTGGAGATAAAATTTGTTTCCATTGTATAAAAAATAAAAAAAATAAAAAAAATCATCTATCTTTTGATGTTCGTTTGGCTTTATTTTACATAGAAGTTATCAATTAAAGGGAAATATTTTTTTTACAATAATTCTTAAAATTTGTATTCATTGCAAAAAAAAAAAAAAAAAAAAAAAAATCCAAAAATACCCAAGTGGAACTGTTCACCGGTCAGTAGTAGTTGCATTAAATATTCTGAAAAAAAAGAGTATAATTTATTGTCGATTATTCCTCATATTGCTGCTTCATATGTCACAACTGTTGCTGTTCAACCAAAGGCACCCTATATTACCTAGCCATCGCTAATTTCGTCGCTACCAAACCACTCCCCCAGTCCACCACTATCATCTATTTCCTAAAAATCCATAATCATCTATCTTTTGATGTTCGTTTGGCTTTATTTTACATAGAAGTTATCAATTAAAGGAAAATTTTTTTTTAACAATAATTCTAAAATTTTTTATTCATTGAAAAAAAAAAAAAAAAAAAATAATGCTACAGTACCCTTGAAAACCTGTTCCCACCATATAGGTGAGAATTGTTTTTCATGAAAACCAAGAAAATTTCAATTTCCAGGGAAACCAAGAAATGCAATTCCATGGAAAAGAAAAACTATCAAACACCCTTAGAATGGAAGTTGGAATTGATTTTCCATTTTATAGGGAAATTTTTCATGTATCAAACATACCCTAATAGTTAGTATATTAGATGTTTTTGATAATTTTGCAACCTTCAAATATGCATCTAGTGACATGAACATATAAAGCTAATTTTATTTATTTCTAAAATTCCTTATTCATTGATTCATCTATTTATTTTTCATAGGGGTAATACTAAGAAAGCAATTCCTGTCAGATTCTCTAAAATATTACTAGTGGCAAAGATCAATCATAATTAGCGGAGGACGGGAACATTACTTTTATATCTCAAAGAATGTTTCAGGCGTCTTTTGGCTTCCTTGAGATCAGAAAAATGTTAGGCAACTAGCTGATGTGCACACAAAGACCTAGCTCAAGCGGTAAAAGTGAAACCCGACCTGACTTCAATCCCTTTGGGGGGTAAGGGTGAAATTCAAAAACAAAAAATGAAATTGTCTAGTTTTTCTATTATTCTAAAGGGTTGGCCGGTTTTGTATATCAGTTATACTCTAATAAGAAATGCATAAAAGTTCTAGAAGTCTGCTTTAGTAAAAGTTTGGGGACAGTATTCATTTAGGGGATGACTAATAAGAACAGCGAGAAAATGTCTTATTGTCAGACAACAAAAAATGACTCTTGGTTTTTTATCATCCTCGGAATTATTTTTGGTATCATGAGATTACCATGTAACATGACATAAAATTTGGCTTATTACTTCCTAGAGTTTCTCTAGATTTACATATGCATATGTAATTGCAGTACCATGGTTGGTGGCAGCAAATCCTGTAAATTATGGTCGACCATGTCAGCTTTCTTGTGTTGAGGCATTAGCTGCTGTTTTGATCATATGGTAACAAGCTTGAACCTTTTACCTTTTAACAATGAATTCACAGGGTACTATTTTTGTCACTGTTGGCATGTTACCATTTAATTCTAAACAATCTTGAGTTTGTCTGTCTTGAATCACTGTCTTTTGCAGTCAAAGCTATTTTTTTTAGCATTTAGCTGGTCAATTCTAATGCCTTGTGTCTGAATTCATCAAGTTGTTGTAGTTTCCATTCCCCTGGTGGGTTCCTTGACTCAGGGATCTTCCTTCTTGCATTTTTTGCTTCCTCAGTTGTGAATCTGATAGATGACAAAACCAGTCTATGGGAAATTTATAGACCCTAATATTCTTACCTAGCATTTACTTCTGGAGTCTCACCTTATTTCTCAAAATGATTCTTTTAAGCATATGAGGTAGCTCAGAATATATTGCTTTTCTTGAGACTGCACTTGATTTCTATTATGACTTGCCAACTTGGGGTCTAATTTATTATCACCCTTTCAACTTATTCTAAATAGAATATTGGCCAATTTATCAGGGGCAGAGGTTTTATTCCTGGGATAATGTTTTCAGTTGAAGACATGAAGCCTCATCACCTCCATTAAAAACTTCTATTTATATTTTGTCATTTTAAAATGTTTTTTTTTTTTTCACTATCTTCTTTTTTCATTCTTTGAAAATATTGAAACATGGTGTCTACCCTATGGCCTATCTAGTTTGATATTTTCACACCATTGCTAACTTCATGGGCCATCTTCTACTATCCCAATCAAGGACTGCATCGACAAAGACGTAAATTCATTTTAATTACCTTGTTTCACGTGATTTTAGGCCAGCTTCTTCCTCAAGTTTAATAATTAATACTGGTTATCTAAATATTCTGTAAGCTGCGCAAGTTATTTAACTATGCATTTTATGATCTATATAAAGTGGTGAGACAGAAAGTGCAAATCTGTTGCTGGGGAAGTTCAAATGGGGTCACGCTTTCTTGTCCCTTAACAGGTAATTTATGCTGGATGGGATGATTTCCAGCTAATAAGCCTTGACGTGTTTTCTGTGCTTTCATTTACCTGTTTAAGTGATTGCAGAGAGATGCTTGTACATATTACCTGCTATTAATCCCTCCATAAACATTATTAAAAGTTCTGTGAGCTGCTCATTGCTTCTTGTAGTCAATAATCTAGATTCTAGAATGATTATGTCCTAAGCATGCTTAAGGCCGGTCCTGGATAAGTGGTACTTTTTACTTTAATTTGATCGGCATAGACTTAATTTAATTTAATTATTTCATATTCAATAAAGGCATAGTTTTGCCTTACTCTATGTGCTTGACAAAACAACTAAAACTACTACCTCCATTTTATTACTGAAACCACTAGATATTTAGGGGACATTTGTTTCCCATTTTTGTAAGAATGAGAATGAAAAATATCCTACACAAGAGATATAAATTTAAATTTGGTGGCATGATGTGATGGGTAACGATCATATTTTTCATTTTAATGAGAAAGGAATGGGAAACAAACAGGAGCTGAATTTGTTTCTTGAATTCTAATCCTGTTTCCATGGTAACGATTAATTGGATTGTTTCGAGTAAGTTTGAACTGAGAGGAATTTGTTAGTATCCAGGTTTATAGGGTTGTTGACTTTAATTCATACTCTACCGACTGCATTACTCTTTGTATGCGAGAGTTAATAATTTTTCATTAGAGATTCAGGATATTTGACACTAATAAATTACTTTTTGGCACTTCATGGGCGCAGGGAGCTTTTGAAGGCGTACTCTGAATGTAAAAACAGTTCTGACATTATTTCTGTGCAAAACAACTGGCTTTCCCAGCAAAACTCACAACAACTGGAGGTCCCCACAAGTTCAAAAGGTACGTTCTACTCTTGAATAAGTTTAATAATAATAACGTAGAAAACTGAAATCATTGTAAATTTTAGTTATGGATTTCCAAGGACTTCCATGGTCAGGAAAACAGCTTTTACTTGTCCTTTCTGTTTACTGTAGGCTTTGCACTGCACTTGATTTCATTTTATTGCAACTTTTGTTGTCATGACTAGTGTTCTAAAATGCATGCATATGTCCGCATATTCTTGATGCATTTTCAAAACGCCTCACATATAGGATATGCATGTGATAATGTGGTCAGCATATTTCGTTGACTGCATATGCACTCTTCAATGCAACAATGTACACTCATTTGTGTTAAAAATTGTATCAAAACTAGCATGGCAAAGTCCAACCCAATTTTATAACTTAAAAATAGCAAATTGAGCTCAATAAATATCAAATTAATCCAAATTACCCAAGCCCATGGTTTATATATAGCAATATGTAGGGTTTTGACATTTATAAAAATATAAAATCAGAACAAATTATTTGTAGAGTTACAAACCATCTACACCGAGTTCGAGCCTCTTTCTATCTTTCGCTAGTTTTACGAGCAAGTGATGCTAGTTGTACACAATCTTGAATTGTTGATGATTGTGATGATGAGGAAGATTTGCCAATAATATCTTACCATTTACAAGAAGTAATGTAAATTTTTTAATTGAAATAAGGGAGCACGATAAAAATAATTTTTTATTGGATGACACGAAAGATGACTTGGATGAAGTAGAGGAGATTGAATTGGAATCCGATAAACAACTAGACAAGATTCAGAATTTTTTAAATTGATATTCGTGTCTAATCTAATGTAAGAATTGATTATTAAGTAATTGTAGTATTTATAATTTTGAGCAATGTGTTTTTGTTGAAATTGAAGGATAAATATAAAATTCAAGTAATTGCAGTGTTTATAATTTTGAGCAATATCCCCCTTTTTTTTTTGGGAAAATTTGAAGAACATGTGTAAAGTTCAAATAATCCACTATTGTATTTATTTATTAGTTTAGAATATTTAAAATAATATTAAAAATTATGCATAATTACTTTATGCTTCACATAAGCACGACCAAAATGCATTATATAGCATTGCACATTTTAGTACCTTGGTCATGACACAAAAAGAAAGGGAAGTAGTAATTAGATACAAAGAAAAGTACTTATATTGATACAAAGAAAAAGAATTATATTGTTATTACACTGACAATAGAAAAATCTACATGAGTTGGCCTAATAATGCACTCCCATTTAGTTCATACTCAAGTTGCGGTGGCAGATCTGTTGCTTTTCTGAGTTGAAGTGAGGCTAGACTGCAAGCCACATTCGTGTGCTTGCCTATTTGAAAATTTTCTTTCCATGCCCTTGTTTGAGTCCCATTTTGATGGGAAAAATGAATTTTTGAATAGTGTATTGATGTGAAATATGTGGTTAAAAAATAAAAAAAAGTTTTGGATTTGCGTTTAATATTATTTTATTGAAGACTATGTAATTGAAGTTGTGTCAAAATATTGTTGAAGAATTCATTTTCTCCCAATAATGGGGATCAAACAAGGGCCATGTTTTCTTGTTTTCAAACTTTCTATTTAAATTTTTGCTGTTAACTTTTAAATTTTCTCTACCAATAGAGATTTAACACCCCAATTTTTGTTTTTGAGCTTTATGAACTACAAGAAAATAGTAAATGAAGTAATATTATGAAAAGCAACCTAAGGAAGGAGCACATGCTTAGTGGCTTATAAGTTACACCCATAGTTATTAGACCTGAATAGACCGGAAAACTGTGAAATGGACCTTGAACCAGTCCGAGCGGGTCTATTGGACCGGTTTACATACAAACCAGTCATAATCGGGAAAGAACATGAGACCTGAAGGCTGCTGAAACATAAGATTGTCTCAAGTGAAATGCTTACTGAATTATGACTAAT